TAATAATAACAGCTTAGATCAGGGGTGCTCAACTTCTGGCCTGGAGCCGTCGCATCTGACCTGTGGGGCTCCCTACAGGTCAGGAAATTTGGCTGGGTGATGTCTCCATCCCCACCTGCGGTGCTGGGCTCAGGCTGGGCTGCCCCCTGCCACGTGGCCAGATAATGCCTGCTGAGCCAGCTGCAGGCACTGGACTGGAACCACCATCTGCCCCGCAGTCAGGCCAGGTACCGAGCATCTGGCCCACTGGGGAAAAAGGTTGAGCGCCACTGGCTTAGAGAATAATAATAAAGTGTACATAAACTGTGATTGTAATAATGGGAACCTTAACTTCTACTTGCTTTTACATTGTGTCCTTCCCCTCAGTAGTATATTATTGAAGGTTTCTTTCTTTTTCCTGTTTGCCTATTTACAGTCACCCCAATCACTGGTATGTTTAGTATGTTATAAAGTCTCCCTGACCTGGCTGGCACTATAAAGCTCTTTTGTTCATTGCAGATGGACACCTGCATCCCACTGTTTTTGGTTTCCCTTCACCTCTGGAAGCCCTTTTAAAATCCCCAAGCCCATTGAGAGAGCTGCTGTCCACACCCGGCAGAGGGGCAGAACCTGCAGTCAGCTGAACTGAATACGGGTGACTGAAGCACAGATTCAATTGCTAGGTCCCTGGAACAGTAAAATAGCAAAGGAGCTTCCATCAGCTCCTCCCATGAACCACCAGGTGAGAGCTGTTTCATGCTCTGACACTGATACCTTTTTCCCCACAGGGAACGTTGCGAATGTCAAAACGCAGCCCCCTTACTATCTCATCATCATGCTCCCAGGAGTCCTTCAGCCACTTCCAAGCTTATTGCCACCCCTCGCTGTCCTGCACGTTGCTTTTTCCATTTAAAATAACGGGTCCTAAAAACGCAGCGAGGGGAAAGACAGGTTTACACCACGACCCCTCCTGGGTGTAAGCTCCCATTCTCCCTCTGGCCTGCCCCAGCTTGGCCCTCAATGGGGCAAGAGACAAACCAGGCATCTGGGCACGAAGCCCTCCTCCTGCATCGCAGCCCCAGCCTGGTGGTGGCCCCTGCCCTCCCAGGAGGCTGTGAGGTGTGAACCGGGCTGAACAGCGCCATTGCACTGTGGCAGGGGAGGCTCAAGGCAAAGAGGGCTGAAGCACCCGCATCCCGCACGGAGCCACAGCCCTGAGCCGTAGGCGCTGCAGTACCTGGGGGGGGGGAACTATCCCCGCCAGGTCCCGCCCCCGCGCGCGGGGAGACAATGGAGCGTTCCACCCCCCACGGTGCTGCAACACTGGGGGGGCTGGCGCGCATGCGCAGAGCGGTGGGTTGCAAGGCTGCAGCACCTCAGCGGGGTGCGCCGGCTCGCACCTCGCTCCCTCCTTCCCCTGCGGCGCGGGGAGACACCTAGCGGCCCCGCAGCTTCCCTGCGGGCCGGGGGAGCCCCGTGCACCCCGCGCCCATGCGTGCCCGCAGCACTCGCTGCCCTCCGACACCGTCTCGCAGCGCCTTCGGCCGCCCCCCCGGCCGCCCACGCTGAGCAGCAGCGCTGTACCGCGCCCCTGAGATCCCTGCAGCCCCCCCGGGCTCAGTGCCCAGGGCCAGCCTTCGCCCTGCAGCTGCTGGAGGG